AAATGTCTAAATTACGATGAGCAGATGAATAATACAGTAGTGGAATGGGCTTCCTACAAATCTCATGATAAAATATAAACATTTTACAAAAATACATAACTTCTCTCGATTTACAGATATAATTAGCCAATTCAAATAGGATAATAATGATGACAAAGTTAAATTTCCTAAACTGATTAATTTAATTACAAAGCATCCATTCTCCTATTTTGGACATCATCGGTACATTCTTAATATAGAAGTAAACTAATTTTTAAGAAAAATTCGGCGAGACTCTAATTTAGGGACGACCTTTGAACGAATTTTAAGTGACCTTGAGAATAGTAGCCAATCAGAAGACAGCTAGTATAACGTAGAAATATATTAGAAGAAACTAATGGATTACAGTGAATATACTTCTTTTACATGATTTAAACCTTATCAAGGTTTGCTAAAGTTTCAGATGTTTTGAAATCATATTGCATACGGTATAAAAAGTCATAAATTCCAAGTACCTGTCGAGTATATTTACGGAAATGATACTTACCCAATCCTACTTTATACTACGTCCCCTGTTGTATTTTCGCTTTCTCACTGCCGTTTCATCTGTCTGCACGATACATCCTACTCCTCCGAATGATTGGTGTACAAGTGTTATTTTAGTTGCACATATGTCACGGCAGTACTCATACCACTGGACTGCTGAAGTTTCATAAACAACTGCAAACGCCGCAGCCAGTGTTACTGGTGTATTTATTACCCAATCTGCAACTATAATCATAATCTGATTCAGTTTCAGTAGCAATCGAGCAAAGAAAGTCCCCGTTCTAGCAGACTTTCTACTCCAAAATGAAGGACAACGAAATACAATCTCACCACGGTGGTTTGCACACTTTACTGCGGTCATTTGATAACCGCAGTCTTACGTACAAGAACTTTTTAGTAATCCCATCTCTTGTAGCCTCTCAATAATCACCCCTTCTCTAAAATCTGCTGTAAACCGATCATATGTGAGCATCAGGTGTTGAACTTGGCTCCGTGACCTTGAAACGGCTCAAACGCTTCTGATTGGCTCGTCCTTAAATTAGAGTCTCGCCAAAAATTCTATTCAATTCAACCATACAGATCACGGAATATAATACCACGACAAAAAGTATCCAATACTTTTCATTTTTATGTTTCCATTACACATCTTTAACCAATCGTTTTTTTCCAAATATAGATATCCCCCCCCCGAAAACATTTCAATGTTGTTTATTTATTTATTTATTTATTTTCTATTGTTGTTTTGTTTAGGATTTAACAACTACTTTTTTTTATACCGATTTTCGATTGAAATCAACTTTTGCATCAATAGTTAAGTAATTCAGATAATAAAAGCTCATGTTTTTTTTAATTGACAGATAGATATATATAGAGAGAGAGAGCGAGAGGATATTTACCAATAGAACACCACATAGGTTATTGACTTATTATTGTCCGACTAAACTAATAAAATTTGCTTATTATTCTCACTCAATATAGATCAATAGTACATATTGTCAGTGTTACTATTATTTTTAATGTTGTTTTTCAAGAAAAAAATAGTTTCTATTGTATTTCCCGTACGTTTTTTAATTAAGTTAATACAATTATAATTGAAACACAACGAATGTACAAAATTTTTTTATTAGTATAGGGTTGTGTAGATTGTTGAGTGTAAATTGATATGATGAATGGATGAATGTTAGATAACCATTGAAAACCTGGAAACACTGGAAGACCGTTTTGTCCTAGTGTAGAACTCCTCAGCATTGAGAATACAAGATCGCGCACGTGAAACTCGAACCCAGGATCTTCAATCTCACGCACGAATGATTAACCTTTAAACTACTGAGCCGGTTGGCCTAACTTCAACCAATCTACAATATCAATCCACTGGCCATAGCCAGTGGAGTTCAACCATGTCTGTTGTAAGGCAGTTACTCACTGAAAACAATGGTGGACGATCGTGCAACATTTTCCTACTGGTTGATGTCAGCCTATGTAAAACTTAGTCAGTTATACACGAATGAGTATATGAACAAATGTAAATTAGTGCAAGTCACTAGAAATCTGGTAGGTAGTTAAACTGTTTTTCAAAGTATTCCGCCTATTATTTCAATCTTAGAGTTTGACAATCGATCAAATTTCCGTCTTTTGATGTGACAGCTTCATCAAATTTCCGCTCCAACTCTACATCAAACTGCTTAGTTCTAAATAAAAACAAAATCTCACCAATACGCATTAGTAGTAGTTGCATACAACAAATTATATATATGTCATTAATAAACAACTGTTATAAACTACCTTGTGGTGGTGTTCACAACGTATATTATTGTATTATAGTATTACTTCAACTTGGTATAAAACTACACATTCACTTGGTAGCCTTGAAGTCGAACTTTTCTGTATGAAGACTGACTAAACTGTAGCAGTGAAGGTGATCTTCAAACCCACAACTCAGTACTTCAATTTAAAATATTTTGACCAAAGAATCACTATTAATAATAGTTTGCATTATCCCGTCGTTATTATTCATGATAGGATTTTGATCAGTTTTTATCGGTGTATGTGCATCCTGTGCGGATTGCCTCGACCTAATCATTTTGTCACAAGCTGCCAACAAAGACTGATCAAAATTAAATTGGTAATATCAACAACAAGTGAATTTGAGAACTTATGAATGATAATATTAACATTGTGCTCGTTACATGTTGATAGCTATATATACTCAGTAGCTAAGTGGAGAACATGTTGGACATTGGAAATGAAAATTACTGGATTCGAGCCCCAATGTGAATATCAATAGTAGATTACAGGCACATCCAATTGATAAGTAAAACGAAACGCGAGTCATGAATCTCACTAATAACTTAAATCCATCTATTTGAAAATGGGTCACTATACCTTATGAATCAAGGCATTATTGATAAACAAAATCATAACACTGAACGTTTTACAATAAACTATTATTATAACCTGTTTTTTCTCATAATTATTAAACTTTCTCCTATCTTTTTTATTTCTTTAATATTAAAAAATAAAGCTATTCAACTTTGTGAAAATAGTTTCAGAAGTTATTAGACAAATTGATGTATGTTTAATAAAATCTAGCTAGAAACATGTAAATATATGAACTATATAGTCAACAGAATTCTCTTCGTTAATCTGCATTAATTGCACGATATTTATATTTAAAATACTCTGTAACATAAAAAGGCTACATACAATACAAAATCAACAGAAATAAAATTTATTATAGATTCGCATGACAACGAATCTGGACAGACACTATATCATTAAATTACCAGACAACTACAACTTATAACTGTAATTTACATCCTATTATGTAACAAAATAGGACCATATTAGCACAGGAAATCACAAATTTATTGGATCATATGCTGAACAGCATATAACAAGAAATTAGGGAATGTGTGTCAGTGTCACAAAAACAACTTATTCGTACTAGAACAACATATAAAAATGAACAATATAGTTTTCAATAAGATTCTCACCAAACTTTACTCTAATATACAATAATATTTATAGGCATATACGAAATTATTCAACCAGTCAAGGTAGTTTATGAATCATTGATAACAGTGGAATGAATTACATAAATAAACATAATAAGTAGAAAGTACAAATTGACAGTGTGATGACAGGTGTACTAGTTGTCGTAAGAATAACAAACGCTTCAACCAATGTTTCATAATAGGAAACAGGACAATGACTTGACAAATACAGATCCTGAAATATCATTCATTAGAAATTAAAACATTACGCAATAGAACGTGTTCAGACAATTGGATAGAGACGAGTATATTTGGAGGGAAAGTGGTGAATAAAAATAAACGAAACGTATGACAAATAATAAGAAATAAAATCGACGGAACTTTACTATTTCACGAAACACATTGCAAGATTCATGATGAGTGCAAAAATTAAACTGGAAAATTGGAAAATGTCATATCTCTGATGCAACGAATAATCAATACTTAAACCAGTTTCTTCCTAACAAGGTTAAGTTTTTTCCAACGTTATTCAGTCTAAGAACGTTAATCATTCATACCACTCAAGATTGTGAATAAGTATTATAAGAACCCTTATTATCGGTGTTTCTTACTCACGCGAAAGCAGGAATAAAACCTACAATCTCCACAAATCCCTCCGTACTGATAATAAACATGTCCACACTAATAAATAGCTTCAAGATGTAACTCATGCTGTACTAATTTGAAGCCGTGTCAAGTGCACATCAGCTTTATTAAGTTATTTCCTGAAAGCTTGACTATAATCAGCACAAAAATAATGTTTTAATTATTGTCATTTTGAATTTTCAAAACTGGGGGTCAGGTTCAAAGAAAACTCTCATCCCAAGTGATTGATGTCTCAGGAAACAAACTGTGCAAACATTCATGCATCTTTCCGAACACTATTGTCAGTTGGAGTAAAGAAGAACATTTTACTTTTTTCTATTATCTTTTCCATTGTTTCAAGGCTCGGTTCAGAGTTCATAAGCGCCCAGTAGAAGTATTTCATTGACTTCAATCAATGCGCTGAGATTCGATCACCGTAGATAGATTAGGATAGTAACAAAATTATCCTCAACTTTTGAGTGATTTTGTATTCACTATGTAACCACAGAAAGATCCATTTTAACAATTTTAAAGTCACACATAATGATCACTAAGTCAACAAACGTTAGAATGACATTTCACAGACAATTTCTTAAATGAACTAACATTGTGAGTATATGACTAGTATTTATTTACGATTAGTCAAACACATGGCTTTTCTTTCCGTTATAAAACAACTTGAAATTGTTAGTATTAATACAAGAAGTAAAATCATCTCGTAATGTGAACATGCTTTTGGAATGGTATCTTGCTGTTAAAGATGTAAAGATACACTGCAAACTGTAATAATATTATCGTTCAAATTCCTCATTAGTAATTCAATAGTAAACAGAATCAAAACAAATAGACACGACTTACGACGATCAGAGAAATCGTCAACAAGTATAATTTCCTTTAACAAATTTGGTGGAGATCGATCTATCACCGAATGTACTGAACGTAATAATACTGACCAAGCTTCATTATGAAAACAAATTATAATTGATGCTGAGGGCAGATTGCTTCCATATTTATCGACTTTACACCTAGAATATTATTAACAAACATAAATATTATCAGTCATAATGACGTCAGAACAAAGACAAAAGAGTACAGTTAAATAGATAAACAATTCAATAAGTAGTGATGGCATATAGTTAAAGGAACAATGAGTGGATAAACATGACGTATGTTATTTCATAGGGCCATTTTAAACCACATAGATTGAGTAATACATCATACTCTGAATATATTTGACTGCTCATTGTACTGATGCTAATAACATCAAATAAGAATTGGTGAAGTGATGAACTTTGCCATAACATTAACAAAGTACCATATAATTTGTTAATAAATTCATAAATTATTTCAGTGCTGGGATTAACTAATATATATATATATATATATATATATATATATATATATATATATATAGGTGTATATGCATACTGCTTATATACCTATCATATACTCATATATGGGTATAGACTAGAAACTATTCATAGATTCAAGGGTCAAACAATTCGTAGTGAAAAACACAAAGTAATCGAATAATCACCAAATAACGTAAATTTACCAGTCACGAAATGTATAAATAATCGATTTTATGATATTTCAGCAGTAATAATTAAATACCCACATAAATGTCTTTCTGCTTGGTTCAAGATACCTACATGGACATTAAAGTAACCTGCTATCGAGACTCTCCAACGATGACTGATGGCAATATGGTCTATTTGAGTCCAACGTTGGTTTGATTCAGGAGCTCGCCATGTTAGTCGATGTCTCTCTTTATGCTTAAAATTAGTGTTTTCTAAAAATGAACGATTGTCTAGGCACATTTGCAGCAGATGGTCACCATTATTTGTTCACTGAGCCGGAATATTCAAGTACCCACCTAAATGTCTTTCTGCCTGGTTTAAGCTACCTACTTGGGCATTAAAAGCACCTGCTACGAGTACTATATCTGAACATTTAGATTTATGAAGAAGTTCAGAAATCTTTCTTTAAAAGTCATCTTTCACTTCATCCGAACTACAGCCAGTGGGAGCGTAGTCAGAAACGACGAATAGACAACACTATGTATCCCTATCCTTCCGAGTTCTTATGGAGCCGTGAGTCCGAACAGCACATTGACGACCGTTGGCAGGGATCCATCCCTCGTACTTAGTGCTATGCCTACACCCGCCAGTTATCGGGTCATCAGGTCTCCAGGTAAACAGAGGGTGTATCTCGTCGGCTCTCCGTTTTGGAGACGTCAGATCAAGTGAATGATCACACTAGGATCCTGTATGCGTGATTCAAAGACAAAATACATCAATCGTAAGAGATTCTAGAGTTTAAGTCAAGGAGACCTTCTGGTCGATTTGACATATGGTGTGTATGTTGAAGGTTCCAATGTGTAGTTTGGAGCCAGTTTTCAGTAGACCTAGGACAGTATTTAGCGCACTATAATCGTTGGCAATCGTGACACTTAGGGAGGAAGTCAAAAGAGGATGTTTAGAGTTGACAGGCGAGGTAGGAGGAATAATAGGAATTGAAGAGGAATATTGGTTATGAATACACTGATCTTGAGTGCTGTTAGAGGTATGAGGGCAGTTATCATTTCCCGGTTGCTCACACCGTGGAAGGATTCTTCTAGACGTGCCTGGAAAAGAAGTTGGGTTGGAGGTAGTCTTGAAGTGAACGAGAACACAAGTGGGGACAATTGAATGTATTTGAATACGAAATTACAGAACATCTTAGTAAAATCTGAGAACCATATGGTAAATAATTGATTAGCAAAATACCAGTCAATCATCTCAGAATTCATTGTTCTTTCGTTCCCACACCAATTATTCTTTGTTCTCGTTCTTTTTTCTTCGATCTTCTTAACCTTCTGCCTCCTGGCATTTCACTTTCGACTGATGATACATACTACTTATATCTGCCAACATCAGTGGCACACACCACAGTCTTAGTGACCTGAGACTGTCACCGCAGTGCCCAACGGACAACTGCTTGGGGTCAGTCACATACAACCACTTTGTCAGTATTTTCATGTTAGCTTCGTACTTGCTGGGACCGTACCGCCGGAGACGAAAATCCGTGGTATAAGGTAAGGTGTGTATTTTTAGGGTCGACCTTTTCTAACCCACTCTTCCTTTTGGGAAGGCAACATCTCTGCAGATGCTGGTTGTCTGAAGGAAACACCTTATTGCCATCGCACCTCTGTAAAGTCAGCGGTACGACTACATCCTCGGACCTTGGGCTTACTGCTATTAGTCTTACCGCTCTTCAACTGACCTGTCCAACATGGTAAAACCTTGAGGAACGATCGTTCCAACCAGTATAGCTCAATTGGTTCATTACTATAGGCAAGCCCGATCACCACAACAAGGCAGCAGCAAAGGTCGGGATAAACAAAATAATCGAATAATTACCAAATAATTTAAACTCACCGGTCAAGAAATGTATAAATAATTGATCTTATGATATTTGAGCGGAAATTGGTAACACTTACTAAATTTTTACAAGCTATTTATAATCCTATTATTGACGCTATAGTCAGTTGTGTTAACTTATCAAGTAATTAAGGCAACTTTTTTCCAATTACTGATAAACTGCAAGGACATTAGGCATTCTTTTGAAAACTGTATGGTATTTGTTAAAAGAAAATGATGATTGAACTTAAAAGACTAAAGTATGGTGAAAATCAAATCGAAAATTGTCAAACTACTGTTTTAACAGCTGACTTGTCAGTAAACGGTATTTTTATCATCGCCAGGTAATCCAAATACAATTTGTAGTAACTCCAGTGAAACAGACACTGCATTTAGTAAATCCATCTTAAAGCTTATTTTATAAAGGACACCATTGGTTCACTATAAGATCTTCTTTTACTTTAATCACAAAACAAACTGAATCGCGAACAGACTCACTTACAAACACCTAATTATTTGGTAAAATATAACAGCTGTAACAAGTGAATAATGCTTGTTCAACAGTAAAGAAAACAGAGAATAATAGTCTACATACTCAGTACTGAGTCCAGTACATTCAAGCATGTGTTCGGTATGATACTTTTAAAGCAATGAGTCGTAATCTCGTGACCTACATTTCTAACTTCACTCAGTATAAAACGTGGTTCTCACCAAATGTGATTTATTGCTTTGGTTGCAATTACGTTGATTCCATATCTCAAGATTTACCATTACAACATTTATTCAAAAATTTCTCTAACCAGGTAAACAACAACCTCCTGGCCATTAAATCATTCTTTCACAAAATACGTTTAATATATCAGATGCTATCATATACATGAAGGAGCAGTGATGACACCCAGTAGTATGGACTTTCGTAATTCCAATAAAATTCAAAGGTATGACCAATTAGTTTATGCTCAAATATCTGAATTACAAAACGTATATGCATTCTATAACAGTTAGTCCACTCTCCTATAAACGTTGATGTTCCCAACATATTGAAGACCTGACTTTGTCACAGGTAGCCAACTAACGTTTCCAAATTCACACCAAAATTCTAGAACGTGGTTTAAGATCAATCACACGGGATAAACAGATTAGCAAACAACAATAAATTGGTTTACATAAAGAAAACAAAAATCATAATCACAATTTCGAGGGTGACTTACGTTCCTTCTCTATAGTCTGGTAAATATCGTCTCACACTAATTTGATCGCTAGCATATTGATTATAGGCATTATCTTCCCAACCCTTATCGAATATTAACTGTTCAGCTGGTGATAAGTCTTCACGCTTTATTGTATATGCTTTACCACCTTCACCTTTTATCCAATATATTGTGATTTGATCATCGGCATGTCAAAAGTTCATGCCATTCAAATGACAAACAATACAAAAAATTAATTAATTAATTAGTGTTTGGTCGAATGTTAGATTTGAAAAAAACAAAGTATTTTTATATTTTACAATATGAAATAGCATTAGCAAGATAAAACTTTGCCATTAAATACTCTTCAGTTTAGACGCAGTAGAACTCTGTACAGTTAGTTTTAGCAGTGAATGCGCTACTCTAAGCTAACTAAATCAGGACTAAATGGTTCAATTTTTTTCCCGATTCAGTAGCAGAAAACTCCATATTGTTCACAATAAATAACACGTGTACCTAGCCAATCGAACGAAAATCGGTAAACATAAGACAGACAACCATTTAAACTATTGATGCTGGCTTAATGGTCTACGTGTTAAGCATTCACTGCGAAACCTAGAGTTCTTTGTTCGATCACCGGTAGAGTAATGAATGTATACTGCTTAAGAATTTCAAACTGGAACAAAATATTATCTATGAACTGTCTTCGGGGTTTTTAATGGTTATCTCACTAAAATCATTATAAGATGTAACCCAATAAAATTCAAATCACCACAAACCCCAATGGTGAAAACGGTAAAGTTGACAGTGAATTAGAGCATATTCCTGAACATAATTTTGTTCATTGGAAATAACATCAACTCTGGGATGCAAGTACATCCACCTGACGAGTCCCAAATAGGACGAAACGCGCGTCTTGGATTCCACTGCTAGCCACTATCCGTCTTTGCTTGAAATAATTTACAGTTTCAAAACTTCGTTCATATAAAAATATTGACTTGTTTAGTGGTCTACACGAATTCTGAGATTGAAAACATCAGGCAAAATCGTTAACAATAGTTGGGATATCAAGTAGTAGACAAAAGTCCATATTACAATAAAATACAAAAATATTTATGTAAATGAATCGATACACTTCATTCACAACGAATGCTAATTCAAGTGAAAGCATCAATGTAATATTATTCTTAAATGAATAACACTAACTACAATTGAATGCTACGGAGAAATAATAAAACTGGTCCATTCCAATGGAGTTACAGTTTTATTCAAAAAGCAATTAATTCAACGCACTGTCTCCGGTGCGTTTTCAATTATTTCAGATTAAAATAACTCTGCAAATTCACAGTTAACAAGCCTAGCGAAACAAACTTCATAGATTTAAAAACGTTTGTTGAGAAAGCCACGTGAGTGAGTTGAACTTAGTAACAATAACTAAATTAGATGGTACACTGACCTGGACCTGTTGAGTATTCGTCACTTTTTGGAGGAGGAGAACTAGGAGATAACCCTAACTTGGCTATAGCTGATAGTTTATCTGAACGACTGCTTTCAACAGGTTCATGACCGCCGATAATTCCAGACTTTTCCTTGTAGTCAGGTTGCACAAGAACATTATTTTCCTCATTAACAGGCGGCACAATATCAGGCAAACGATTTTCACCGTGTTCGTCATCGACAGATCGGCGTTTCTCATTCTCATGACCTATTAAAGCAATCAAAGTACAATATCAGCCTAATAAAGATTCACATTTGAAATTCAAATAAAAGTCTTATCAGAAATGAAAACAAAGTTTAAAGGCAATAAGAATTATGTTCCATTCTACAATAAGGGTGCTTCTATCCAACAAGCCTTCATTCGTCTTAGACATAACAATAAATGGTATGAGGATATACCATTACTCAACATGAAGATCTACTTAAAATTCTATTAAGATAGACCAGTTCCGACTTATTCTAATAACTCAAGTATACATCGTTTTTTCACATCTCTAACCGTTCATATGTTATTCGAAGTAAAAATTGATTATGTCAATTCAGGGCTTTGTCAGACATGTTGATGTGACACCGCTATATTACGTACGAAAATCTGAATGACTGTATTATTATTATTACTTCTGTAAAGATATACAAATCGTTCCACAAACAATCTGTAGATATTAGTAGTATCAAAACACGTTTAATTTCAGTGCAGATTAATTAATAAAATGAAAGATTTGATCCACATCAAAAATGAACATAATTTTACTGCTGATTCGTCTCATTAGTTTTGAGAATTTAACAGAATTTCACGATTTAATGCTTGTGCTATCACCTTCAATAGTCATTCCCTCGGAAGTATTGCAATTTCAAACAATGAGAAAACGTTGGTACCGATTATCAAACACTAGAAAAAAATATACAATTCCACATTGCATAGTTTAAATAACATAGCGATATCCTGTGTCTTATGGCTAGTAAAAACTGATGTCATCTCTGATTATGAATGCATCTTATACTTCAAAATATCATTAATTATATACCACTAATTCATTCAAACTAATCTACAAAACACTCTTTCTAGCATCGTATACCATTGCTTTTTTCCTGAAGGCTTTACCTTTTGTATCAATCTGAACATCCTTGTAAATTGGTGTGCACTCTGTAACCATTCTCAGGATATGCATATACATACATATATATTATAAATAGATGCATAATTGTTTTCGTGCGTAAGTCGTTATGAAGTTCACATCGAGATCTTGTAGCGAACGTGAAAAAAAGAAAACACTACTTGTTTGCATTAGACTATTGAACCATGTCCTTAATATTAGGCAAGCAATTCATTTGGAGCTGTTCAGTAATTTCACGAGGAATCAATTTTTGATCAATGTATCACAGGTTTAAACTTCATTTCCATTAATTGTCACTATGAATTTCGGATTACATTCCATAATTTACTTGTCAGAATTACTGACTGATGCATGAGTGATACTTACCAATAATGTTCTGCTAATTAATTTCATTTTATTAGAAAACTAATGTAGTGTATTTTTGTTTCTGTATACCACTCCTGAAACATTTTACGAGCACAGTTTCTTAAAACAGACTGAGTACTTACAACCGATTCAAGCATTTTAGAATTATAATGAAAATATCGGGAAACTTACGGAATAAAGTCAATTAATTTCATAAATTTCCCTCTTGGTTTTGTACAGAAATGGTTTTATTCTCACAATTGTTAAAAGCATGGTGAATGAATGCGAAATATTAGATAAGATGAAATACATTGAATTGTCAAAAATCCCTTATAATAAACAATGAAAAACAACATATTTCCTAGACTACTTACCCAAATCTTTGTCGATCGGAGGATGTGGACGAGCGTTCGGAAATTGAGGTATCTTTAGACGATTCTCAGTAAGTGAATTATTCTTATGAGACTCATCTTGATATTTTAATTGATTACGACTTGGTGCACGTGGTAAGATTTGATTACTTTCTACATATTTTCCATCAGGTAAATAGGCAGAATCTGCATGCAACTTACCATTGTCAAGTTTATCTATGTTTATCCACATAATGAATAGGAGTCCAAAACACACTAATCCCAGAGGCAACAGTTTATTTTTTCGCCAGAATAAATGATGCAAAACCCTTCTGCGCATGCTGTCCTAAAGAATAATCGTGTCAGTGGATCAACCAAACAGTTCCCTCTGAAACCACCTTTAAGAAAGCGAAATGCAACAGAAACAGTGAGAAAAGCAATAAAACCTAGATCAAGAATCTACCTACTCAAATAAATATTTAATAAATTTTGAATACTACAAATAGGGTATTTTTAAGTTCGTTGTTAAAGTAATGGAAAGTAACTTCAACGATTCATATGAAATGATTAGAATATAAGGCTAATCAACGCATTAATATATGATGGTTGTAGTGTACGTCGTAATTTTCATGAAGTTCACGAAGTAATAGCAACACATGATTGAAGTAATCAAGAAATATAGTTTTCATTTGTCTGTAGCTGCACAGATCTATTCATTTTTCGTCTTCCAACGAATAGTGAGTTTTACCATCATTTCATACTAATTGTTTCTAGGGTTTATTCTCTTCTTTTGAACTGTACTATTTATTGTGATTCTCACTTTTACCAAACCATAGTTTTGGGAATTTGATTACGTTCCTGTTACATCATATCCTGACTCGGGAATTAATCGAGTTATGTGGAATGTCGAATGAATACTAAACAATAAGAATAGCTGGTTCATAATAAGAGATATCTTAACAGAAAGCAACGGGTCGTCAGGGATTTAATCAAAAAATTAAAAGCTACTGATGAACTCCAATTAGGTGTACTTTTGTCTTAATTAACCAAATAACCGACATTACCTGTTTACCAAGGACAGGTCTAAACACCCGTCTTTAACACACACTACCATCTGATTTATCCACGTGCCGAGGTATCATCATACCTTATAAATGACCTAGATGTTTCGTGTCACTGAAATATTCTACAAAAATTGCAAAATAATCCTCAAAATGGTTATTCGAAACTTCAGACTTACAGGGTAGAACATGATGAATACATTCTTATAACTGAGATTGATCTTGACAAATGTCATCCACGGTTTCAGTTCTAAACTGCAATTACTTTGTGAACTTCAAATATGAAGTTTACACCTCTTCAAAGTCACAGTCAAGCGACCGTTGAATACGTGAACTGACTTATTTTCTAGGTTCTAGCACACTTAACAAACGGTGAGTTTAGGCTTATTTAATGTACGTTTGTCAAATGAGTGCAAAAGCACTATTAAAAAACAGTTTTGCTTTAAGGACAAGTGTCAAAACTTCTATCTGTCAGAGAACTGCTTATACCTAACATATAATAACCGAGAGTTTATTAAACCTTCAGAAAAACACAACCAACTCGCCGATGAGAATCTGGATGTATATCATTGCTTGCTTCCAAATCAATGAACTACAAAACATTCTGAACAACGGAATTTTGTACATGTGCTATAATTATCACCATGCGATCAACAACCGAGAACATGGTGTATGACTGAAAAATAGCAAAAACAGAGAGATATACCTCAACTTGCGATACAACAAAAATGAATAATACCGACATCAAGTTTTTCTAGAATCTTTCCTCGAAGAACAAAAATAACGGTAATGGTCAGAATTATCAATACGCTTGATTGCAGACAGTAAAAATACTTCTATTCACCTAAAAGATCAGACGAACAGTGTGAGTGCATGGTGATGAGGAACGACAAGAAAAATTGAGAGCTTACAGTTAATAATATATCAAGATTTAATAACCAGGATCAGTAATGAATACTTATGAGACAACTGATTTGCGAAATTTAGTCACAAACATGCTACTTGATAGTAAACGTGCTCCTCAAGAAGACTGAAACACAGTAAAACACTCACTTTTGATGGAAATATAGCATAATCAATCGAGTAACTGCTGTCATCTTTCAACAGTTACAACCACCAGATACATCAATGCAAAAATAAGTGTCAAAAACTTTAAGGATAAGGTATAAAATAATGATCGGAAAATATATATAATCCTGTTGACCGATTAATGTGCAACAACTGACTAAACTTACGACCCACTAACACTAGCGCCTTCAAGTTATGAGGGACGAATTGTGCGCTGGCTCCACAAGGTCACAGGGTCACGTAATATAAAAACAGCGAATGGATTAAACACTATAGTTCAAGTAGTTGGAAGAGAGGCGTCGCCTACGCCCAATGAGTTACCGTATTTAGTATTGTTTGATCAGGTAGAAACCTTTGCATATTCAACGGTCGAATGGTAAATAATAATAGATTATAATAAAACAATGGTTTACATTCAAATTAGATTGAATTTTATGTGGTAAGGACAGAAACTCAACGACCTATGACATTTGTTTACAATTATGCTTCCATGAGTGTATATTTTCCCTTGAATGAGTCAATTGAAGATGCGGACATCACAGCTTCAAGTAATAATTTCCAAAAATTGATGACTTCCTGTGAAAACCTGTATTTCACAGGTAATTTGTTCGTTTGCGCTATGTCTTCCGAGATGTCTCGATCGAGTGGAAACGAAAAAAGAGGATATACTAGGTATGTAATCATTTCTCAGTGACCTTAAAATCAAAACCAGATCACTACATAATCTGCGATGAAGCATTTAAATATCGTCGTGCGCGCTGCTGAGGAAAACCACCACAGGACGAAACGGCAGCACAGTGCTTTCAGGTTTACAACGGTGTTCTAACATCAATCGGTTCATGATCTTTAACAGAAAGCACTTAAAGAGGTCAAGAATTCCAATCCGCTCAGTTAATGATAAACCCAGGCGTTCTGTAAATGCACGGTCTCATGCCCTATGTACTTTATTCAGCATATCTCAGTCGACTTCTGAACAGGGATACACACTCATTAAAGAATTAAAACAAGAAAATTTAGGCATGAAACTGGAAACATACACTAAAAAGCTAGAATAATTTTTCTAGCTGTAATCATCATTGAATTTGTGTAAGGTCTAGTATACTGCCTGTGATCCCAAACCCAAACAGGTTATTTTCTGAGGGGGCCAATAGGTCGAACCAAATATCGCTCGCTCCGAACGCCATTACGTTTTCCACTTAACTAGTGAGCTCAGATAGCTACTGGCTAGTGTAACGGTTTGAAGTTTAATTCATCTGTATTAGTTTCAGTCCTAGGCATCAATTGGAAGACTTGTAGAATTATGATCTACTATGATATTAGCACTGCTCTAATAATAGACCTAATCCTAAAATTGTAGATTTATCATGACGTAACTGCCTAATCCATAAGATCTTACGTGGAAGTTACATCATCGTCTACACCAACTCATTGCATTGTAACAATTACCAATACGTGATAGGGAACAAGCTCAGGCTAGAGATAGAATATATTTAGTGTGAATAAAAGATACAAGATAACATTCAGCTGGGACCACGCATGCAAGGCCGAGCCATGCCACCTGACCAACTCGTATTAATTCAATTCATTATTCCCGCCTTCTCCATTGTTGGGTATTCCTCCGCGTTAAATATTGAATATCTATTTTCCGAGTAGTCTCGCGTTCAGCTTTGAGGATTGTGTGGTTATGATCCGATGCCACTACACTACTCTCCCACCAGAATCAACGTAATGTTGGTTCGATACCAAATTGGATGGGGTTGTCGCTCGCCGGAGGTTGCCAATAATGATCAGAATCCACCGGGTATTGGTAAGCTAGAAGATAAATCAAAAAGAAGGAGGCAGAATCTGGTCGGGAAATACATGTAACAATTTTAATACGTCTGGATTAATGCCTAACACGCTTAAAATGACAATTCAGGTAAAGATTATTTGAGCTAAACAAAGTGGGATTATAATAATAAAATGATTAAGTACAAGGATATTTTAATAAAGTGCCGTAAGATACGTAGTGATATCCGTAGGTTAATAACATTTCCTGTTTAGGAATATTAAAAACAGACAATATTAGAGAAATGTTAAAAGTGTTATTATATTTGGTCTAAATTATGAAATCAAATAACATATGTGCCAGTAAGTTGTCCATGCGTTGATTTCCAATTGCATCTGTATTAGTAGGCTAACTGAAAGAACAAAAGTATAAGCGCGGAGAAGAATTCCAACTAATGTTCCACTTAGTTTGATACGGTTTATTTGGGGAGATTTTCTCGATCTCATTTTTACTTGACCGTGATAGAATTTAGTAATACAAGTAATACATATGAATTGTTATCACAAATTTTTAAATACGTGAAAAGTAATCATTATGTGGACTTTGGACATATAGCTAAGAGCGATTCGTTAAACATGAGTGTACCCGTTAGAGATATGCTCTAGACTCAATGTTCTGGCTTGCCATAGACTATTTATTTATATCTATACCTACCGGCTGATGGTGTATACAAGTTAGTTGCATGTATGCAGTTAAGCATAAGGCGGAATACGACTTGATTGAGATATAGTGAATATAAGTTGTTGGTGATGTAGTGCCGCTAGGTGACTTTGGCTAAATAAGTCTTTACAAGATGACCGACAGTGAGTGATGCTCATGTGATTATCAGGAAGAACATAAGTTGTAACCAAGGGAGTACACTCCTAACTCATGTCTATGATGATGACTTGAACCCTAGTCAGTGTTGGGGTAGATTCGACATTGATGTTTCCGGTTTGCAGGAGATTTGCTCGACTGCTTATACTGATTGTTTGCATGCATGATTGTGTCGCTAAACCTCCAATTAGACTGACAAGGTTTTGAGATAGTTACTGAATGAGCAACTGATAGAGAAACATACTGAAAATCATTTGTAATAGATGAAGATACCAAGAAAACAACACTATTTAATGATAATGACAGGTCAATTTGCTGACCGATTTGTTAATAGTTTCTTCAACTTTATCAATCATATTACGTGATTGGCAAGTCATGACAATGCTTTATGACGATATCCTGAAATAATTATGTCTAACTAATTACAGTGTTGATTGAGGATTAGCCGGTGGACAAATAGGTATTGTTGCTTTAGGTGATTTGAAATTATCAGAAATTTGTAGCGTTGAAGAAACCGAGCCGCCTAATTATATTACAAATTTCAATTCAAGAATATACATCTAGTGTTAATTTTAGTAATAGGTTCCGGAGTTTTAATTTTAAATGTTTGTTTAGCCAACAACTACCTGATAGTTTAGCTATCATACTAAGGCAGTATGCTAGTACTCAAATTTGTAACTTTATTATCTAAACTATGTTTGTTTTTTTATGTTACTAATATGGTAGACCGATTTACAAGCCCATATACGTATAGCAAGAATGACTATGATGGGTTTGGTGAGAAATGCTAAAGGCGATTCAAATGACTTTCGCATTCAAAAGGCATGGAGATATAATGCAATGCATTTACGGGGTTGTTAAACATGCAGGTTATTGATGTATATGACAATTTTAAAAACAGTAAACATTGCCAGACAATAATTTTTAAGTTAAAACTGCTTATGAAACTTCCGGCAGGATTATGATGCGTTATAAACATCTCATAAGAGGTTCCTGTATTTAGCATAATGGCACTTACAAATATGTAGCAAAAAAACTGGAAAATATATACATATCAAGTACAAAAAAAACATCCAGTAAAATAGTTAAACTCGCCTGGATTATTTTTGAAAACTAGATTATTCAGTAGACGACATATGTAACGCCATTCGTGAGGAGTAGTAATGATCCAAAAGCATCCAGAATAAAATATGTAGTATGGTAATTAATTCCAGGGTCCTTGGTGCCGCTGACGTTTTTTGTCACTCGCTCAGATCAGAACAATTGAATGAATCCAGATAATTGTGTGGTTGCCATTGAACGAGCTATCGTATGTTTTTATAGTAGTGTCATCCTTGTTGTTTGGCAATGGAACTCGAGAATCGGAAATTAGGCTGGCAGTGGTCGGAAGAAAAGATATTGCAGGATAGTGTATAGTTTAAAAACAAAATGTGTTAAGTGGAGAAACACTAAGAATCAGATCCAGATAACTATTTAGTCCTTGATTGCATTGTTATTCAATGTATATTTAGGTTATTTGCAGGTCATATTTGCTAGAGCTTGATGTTAAAATAAGTTTATTTTGCTAAAGCATGCAAATGCTACTAAAGTTTGTTAACGAACCATCAAAGCTAATTAGTTAATGTACATGACCAGTTTTTATTATTGATTGAGCTAGTAAGTTATGAGAACTAATCAATATAACATTACGATAATACATATGAGCATTAATCAGAGGACGATTAGAATAATGGTTTTGCATAAATAAATATCGATCGAGAAATATCAAGTGAAAAAGAGGAAAAATAATAGGTTGCGTTTCTTTAGTGGGGCTTACCAATGTAAAATTACGATCTACTATGATATTAGCACTGCTCTAATAATAGACCTAATCCTAAAATTGTAGATTTATCATGACGTAACTGCCTAATCCATAAGATCTTACGTGGAAGTTACATCATCGTCTACACCAACTCATTGCATTGTAACAATTACCAATACGTGATAGGGAACAAGCTCAGGCTAGAGATAGAATATATTTAGTGTGAATAAAAGATACAAGATAACATTCAGCTGGGACCACGCATGCAAGGCCGAGCCATGCCACCTGACCAACTCGTATTAATTCAATTCATTATTCCCGCCTTCTCCATTGTTGGGTATTCCTCCGCGTTAAATATTGAATATCTATTTTCCGAGTAGTCTCGCGTTCAGCTTTGAGGATTGTGTGGTTATGATCCGATGCCACTACAGATTCAAACAATCAATACGAATGCATTACGTATATTGGTGGTTTAATCAGCTCTCGATGATACTAATTACTTTTTTTCATTTTACCTTCATTCAGACATTAGTTTGTTATCCTGAGAATAGATTCATGCAATAATAGACTATGCATTAAGCATTCATTTACATGAGATCAACAATTACTGTTTTGTTTCTGCGTACTGATTTTTTTCTTACGATTTCATAATCAATTTATATACTTCACTATGGTAGTTCTGGTTACTATCACCTAACAATGAAATTAAACGAGATAATTACTGTCTTGATTCTGATATTCACTAGAGCCGTTTAAGTTTATTTTGTA